GTTTGGGAAAGTGGAGGGGATGCACGGGCAGAACCGAGTGTCGACAGAGAGGGATGATGGGTGCGCGCAGGGATAAACGTCAACACGAAACTTCGGTCAGAGCGCAGGGCTCATAACCTGATAAACTCAGGGCTGTGAAGACAAAGATTAGATCCGACTAGAGTCGAAGCAAGATCTTCAGTCAGTAAGAAAAGACTATATTGCAGTAACCAACCGTACCTAGAGTCGAAGCAAGACTACAAAGGTTAAGTAAGTAACTACAAGTCAGAGGTAAAGGTAACGAAGTACTCACTCTTCAGTCAGTAAGAAAAGACTGAAGAGGGAGGACGCAATCTGCAGTCCTTATATACTACAGAGAAGTGTCCATGACTAGTCGAAGAGTGGTTAGTCACATGTACCATAGTGCGATGAATAATACAATGGTGAAAGAATCGCGACGTATCGCACCATAGGATGAGTAAGAGATGAGTAAGGCATAGACCTGTCTAGACCGTTCTGGAGTAGTACGGATTGTCCTAGACAGTACCAGAAGAGTCCGGAAGCATAGCTATAGTACACGAGCAGAGAGTCCCAAATATGGTAACATACTACATAGGCGACTACAGCTAAGCGCTAGGAGACGCATAGCCTCGTGTAGTCCGGACCGGATAAGTCCAAGTTCAACATGTACATCTGTGGCTACGTAGTACTATACAGTACCTTCCCAGGATGCACAGTCGCACAGAGAAGCAGTGCGTACACAGCAAAGCTGTGTGTGTACCACATGAGTAGTACAGCCTCGGTTATTGCAGTAACCGGCTGTGCCATTCCATATCTTGTGACGGCTGTGTTAGGCAAGCTGTGTAAACCAGCGCCTGTTCAACATGTGCATTCAACGACCATATTGTGGTTTGGGTGTGTCCTTCCATGGCAGGATCCTCACCAATTACCTACCATTGATGTTCATTGGCGCAGTCGTAAACGTACATTGTCGGCCATACGCCCTCTACGTTATGGTAACTAATGATCCGATGCTCAGCCAGGACCGACAGTCAGTGTTCAGGCGCCCCGCAAGGTCTGGCCATTGCAGAGCATACCTGGCGATTCTCTACCAGTTTTCGCCATCCCTTTGCCATATCTCGCCAATCTGGCCGTGTAAGACGGATGCCGGACATAACTGACCATTTCTTTCGCTTTTTTGCTGATGATGTATATGCGACTGCACCTTTACTATGGTACCTCCTGTTTAGATCAGGGTACAGGATCCCCTGGGGGGCCAATGGGCACTCAAATACAGACATGGAAGTACCGCACGCATATCCATACTTCAAAACATTGTGGATTTACCTGGGTACGCGTGTGGTCAACCAACGGGGCCGTGATGCGCTGTCATGGAGTAGTCCCTGTGACCGTGATATGGCCTGTTTAGGCAGGTCGGGTAGGGTAGACGCCGGAGAGAAAAAAATCCGCGCGTTCACGGACTTATGCAAGGCGCTGTAAGTGGCATCGATGTTCTGTCGTGGACAGCGAGACAAGCGAGATATCAGAAGGGAAGCACTCTGCAGCCGAAGTTCCTCACCACGCAGCTTGATGAGCCAGCGGTCCAGGTCGATGTTCGTTCGATACAGATTCACTAGCGGTATAATGTACATTGAGGTCTAAGTTGTACTAACACAGGCATATGGGTAACGAGGCATAACAAACACCGATTAAGCAGAGCGAGATACTATATGAAGCCTGGGAACAGAGACAGGGACACCAGATGGCACACGAAGAGAGCAGGGAAGGAGAGGCGCAGCCCTTCACTTGCCCACTGAAGTGATCGTTCCCATCCACGCCAGCAAGGCCTTGTTGATCTTCTCTGGAGCTTCGAGTTGGACCCAGTGCCCGGTGTCAAACGTCTGCACGGTCCCGTTCGGGCAGAGCTGGCGCAATATCTCCTCGGATGGCTTTGCGAGGCAGACAGCGTCGCCCTGGCATCCAGCGAAGAATACAGGATGCTCGAGCTTCAGCTTGTCTTTGACGGCTATGAGAGATCTGGTTCAGCATGCCATGATTCGAGACGCGAAGGACGGGACGGACCTTCGTCATCCTTGCCCATGAGGTCGGACGCCATCACTTTGAACCACTTGAGCGCAGCACCAAGGCCGCCTGCTTTGCGCCAATCTGCCAACATGCGCGCCTTGTCCTGATGAACGACACCATGTATGACTCATGTTCAGTCATCGCAAGGACCGCAGACAAGTAGTCATCGCACTGTAACACCAGGGATGCGTACCTCAGCTGAAACAAAGGGAGCGAGAGGCGCCTGCTTGCCTGCCTTGAGCCACGGTTCGAGCTGTCCTGTAGGCGCGAGGACCTTTCTCCAAAAATCGGGATCCGACGTGTACCACAGCGTAAGGAGAGATTCGAGCTAAGATGGTGATGCGCACATAAGCAGAGTGGGAGTAGGTAGAGAACAAGGGATACGCACATTCGCGTCTACTACACCCTTCGCAGAATCTTCGGCAAGGAACCTATGCAGTGGTCAAAATGAACTTTGGTCCACGATAGGGTACCAGAAAGACGCATACAGCCAGTAACCGAACAGCTCCGAACCTGCCAGCTTCTTCTGGTGGTCGAGCACGACCTTCAGGTCGAACCCGGCAAGTGGAGGGCAATACCCGCTCGCGAGGAATGCAAAACCTATGAAGCGCGTCGGATAATACATCCCCAGGCGCGAAACGAGAATGGAGCCCCTGCGAAACGCGCAAGGACGTCAGCGGTGTCGCGTGTGGGTGTACATTACGAACCACAACGAACCAATCGTGTCCAATAGCAATCACGCGCACCGCCTTCGAGTGGTTCAGGATGTCGACGAGGTCGGCGGCGATTTTGCTCGGTGCATAGTGATCAACGCTCGAGGGCTTGGACGAGCCACCGTGCCCTAGCAAGTCCGGTGCGACGATCCCATAGCCAGCCTTCGCGAAGAAAGCGACCTGATAGCGCCAGTCATGCGCGGTGGATGGAAAGCCGTGCACGAAGAGGAGGGTAGGCTTCGAAGTGTCTGTGGCTGGGGAGACAAAGGTGTGGTAGATATTGCCGGAAGTGGTTAGGATGTCCTTGAAAGCGTGGGCGTCCATAGTGGAATGATGTCTACAAAATAGTATGTATACTGAGTGCGAAGCAAGAGTAGCGGAGGATAGCGGAGGGTATAGGCAGCGGCACAAGTGAGAGAACAGCAGAAAGACGAGGGTAACGTTCGAGGTGTGGCTGCCCTCGATTGAGGGGTACTTAACCGAGGTATGTGCTTTGTCCTAGACCACAAAGTCGGCGACCGGAAACGAACTCCGCGAGCAGCCACTCGGTCAGCCAGTGCAGCTGAGACTGCAAGAATTACCGCGCAAAGGAGTATAAGATTGACTACCAGGAGTGTCGAGTCAATGGCTCCCAAAAGATACGTTTGTAAAGAGGACTACGATGCATAAAGAGCCGATCAGCCCTTCTCGCGTAGCCACAAGAGATAAATGTCAACCTATCGTGTACAACAGCATCTCTCGCAAGATTCCCTGATTGCATAGTGTTCCAAGCCGATTGGAGAGCCAGAGCAGTCCACATAGGCTAAGACAAGGTTTGTTGTGGATGAATTTGAGGCGATCCATGTGTGGAAATTACAGCTCAACAAGAGAAGCACTGCAACCAGTCCAAGTCATTCCTTCCAGAGAGGGCGTGATAATTGTCGCCTGAGAGTGTCGGTCAGCAGCAGTTGGATGACACCCTGCTCTGAGGCCTGACGGTGGGAAACGAACCATGTATCATACACGCACAGATCAATTCTCTCGAGGGTACGTTGGTGGAAACAGAAGGCCAAAGTGTTCACAAGGTGAATATGCGATCAAGCATGTGTCATACAACGAGATTGGACCAGCTGGGGATGTTACGGTGCTTGTCCAAGTGAGATGATCGCTGGCAGAGCAGCGGCGGTGTGCCGGACCGGGCTGCCGGTGATCCGGAGAGAGAAGACCTTGACCGCCATGATGTCATGAGTGTCCTCACTGCGAAGCCGACTAAGCCCGGGAGCCACTGCAGCTGGAAGCTTCAGGGCAGTCACATCCGGCGACCTGAACTACCCAAATATATTTCTACATCAGCGTGGCACCTTCGAACCTATCTCTCTCCCTCCCAGATCGCAGACAACGATGAAGGTATCCCATTTTCATCTCGACAACCATCTAGTCGCTCATCCCAGTGCTCTTACCCAAACACCGTTACTAGATCGTCAGCAAGGAACAACAGGATGCTCAGCAGCGCGCCACCGTCATCGGAGGGTTGAAGGGCATGGCAGGCGGCTTTGCCGTCTCGATCCCAGCGTCCCTCTACCTCCAGCGCACGAACGCGTACTATCGTCGCCTCCAGCCTTCTCTCAAGGCCTTCGGTGTTATCATGGTCGTCGTACCCGCATTTGTCATTTCGGCGGAGCATGCTGGGCAGAAGTACGAGCAGGAACAATGGTGCTTTAACACAGGCATGCCTAGACTACGCCCTTCATTCACGCAGGTATGGTATTCAGGCATGATGCCGGAAAGGCGGAACTGGATGCTCAACAGCGCCGTCAAGAAGCCCGATGGGAGTCTCTCACTCCAGGTCAGAAGATCAGCGACTTCGTTAGGCGGCACGAGTACGGGGTGATCGTCGGGAGCTGGGCTGTGGCCATGGCTGGCGCTCTTCGTTACGTCATGAAAGACCCGTACGTTCAAACTGAATCCTGCGTTTCCTATGCATCCTGCTCATGATACGTGAAGCTTGCAAAGCACAACACAAAAGGTTCGTCGCCACCGCAACATGGCATCGTGATTTCTGTTCTTAAAGATGTGATATAGGTCGTTCAAGCCCGTGTGTGGGCGCAGGGCCTCACGATTGGCATCATCATCGCCGCGGGAATCTTGACCCATTCACAGCGGTCGAAGGAGCTTGAGTCGATGGATGAACACAATGTCCGGCACTTGGTCAGTAGTCGCCTTGCAGCTCCAGATTCGATGTGTTCTGAATCGCGGTGCCGATGCAGCCTCCCGACCATTCTTGGTTGGACGTTCTGCAAGAGCAAGAAAAGGAAAAGGAGCGCGAAGACGCGGGCTCGACCAACACCCGTGGCGCATTATAGCAGGGCTTGTGGTCAACCCAAGTATACAGCGACGAGTCGGCAGGCACCGGACGCGTATCGGGGACGTTTTGAACTGGACAGTTGTACCAGCGCGTTGCATATCGAGAGAATTGTGTTGAAGAGTTACTTCCACTCAACTGCGTGAAGATACTTGGCGTCAAGGACACAAGTGATCAGATATAGAAGTCTGAGAACTGTGTCATCAGGTTACCATTGCTGGCGACAAATCCAAAAGAGATGGAAAACTAGGAATATGGTAAGATGCGATGATCACGCAGGGCTTAGAACGCATCTCGTTTTGTCAATGCTGAGCGTTGAGCCCGCCTATTCGTAGGACCAGGCTACATATTGCAGCTGCGTCGGCCACTGGCAGATCGTTCCGCTACAGCTTTCTCGCATTGGATTCAAGTGAGTCGTCAGATTAATATTGGGCTTTCCTAGGAGCGGCGGGACGGTTGCGCCCAGGATGTCATCATGCAGCTACGGAAGGCAAATTGTGCTTCGTGTGCGGACGGTGTTGATGAAGTGGCACTAGTGTCGCCGCCGGCGGGCACCTATGAGCGAAGCTTGCCGAAATCCCAAACTCCGCAGCGTCGATGACGCAAAATCGTCGCGCACCAACTATCCAGTGAACCATTTACAGATACTTACTTACGGCCTGCGACGGGCACAGTGAACCAGTGCGAGATACACACGGCGTTGTTGCTAGCTGTACTTAGATGTGAATAGGCGGAATTACCCGACAGTCGAAGCACGTTTCCGACCAGGGCCGAAGACATCTGGATTACTCGTGTGTCCTTGGTCATCCGAAATGCATGCCGGCGAAACATATCAACATACTGTACCATCTCGGAAAACTTCGTTGAGTGCCAGGATGACAAACGATGAGAGCGCACGACTCATGCCTTAAGTTGCAATCCCGGCACCGCGGGCAATCGTGCGGCGACCCCTAACTTTGTCCTTCTTTCCCCCCTCCTCTACCTTCCCGACTCCTCGCCCTACCCTCTCGCTCCCTGACCGCCGCAGTCGCTGCGCAAGCCCAGTTGAGGGCATATCGAGCAGGGCGAGGGTATCTCGGAACATGGGTCGATATTTCATCAGGTGAGTTTGGTCATCATCAGAGCCGCCGGCGCGGGACGCAAGCTGCGTCTCGCCGAATCCGGGCGCTCAGCGGTAGTCCACCGCAACAGACCGCAACCCATTATCATTCACGGCTCCCATCGTCATCTGTGTTTGTTGGGCCCCTCCTCCCTCCTTCACCACCGTCCTCGTCAGCTTCACCGCCGGTGGAGTCGTCGTCAAGTCCTTGGGTCTCTCCTACCCCTTCACCAGCCATACCCGTCTGTCTGTCCTTGCTCACCCACGCATGTCGCTCTCTAGGTCCCTCTCTCTCGCCGGCTCGCTTCTCGGTGCGGTCTGCAACCTCGCCTTTGCACTCCGTCTCCTCACCCTTTCGCGCTCGCTCGGTTGGGAAAGTGAGAGTGAGTGGGAGGGCTCAGTGGACGTCTGGGCAGTCGACTCTGTTCGGCTCGTCTGGGGGCTCCTCTTCGCCTACTTCGCCGCGGCCGCGGCGTCGTGCTCTATCGGGTTCATTGGAATCGCCAAGGTACGCTCCATCCGCACCCCCCCCCCCACCTCCGTTTCGCAATTGTGTGCCATCTTGTGTGCCATCATGTTGTTCTGACAACCCTATGCAATCTGGCGTTCATCCATCGCTACAGCACGTCCGCCCGTTCGTGCGCATCTACCGTGACTACTCAATAGCGGACTTCGTGTTCGTGACCCTCGCCACGCTCGGCGTCAGCTACACAACATTTAGCAAGCCGTATGTACGGTCGTCGGTGTGCGAGGAGCTGTCGCGCCATCCCGAGCTCATGCGTGATATGGGTGAGATGGGTCTTTCGCTGGAGAATTGCGAGCAGTGGTTTGAGCGTGCCGTCGTCGCGGTGCTCGGTATCATGTTCATCCTCATTGTCGTCAGGGTGAGTCCTCCTTCCATCTTCCACTTTCTGCAAGCCTCCGCCGCCGCCGCCATCTCCCCTACATCATCCTGTCGCCGCTATCATTGGTCGTCGATTGTCCCGTCATTGCCTGTCATCAACATCTTTCCACGAATGGCGCGCGCGTCGGTGTCGGTGGCGGTTCCGGAATTGTTGTGTCAGGATGCTGACATACCATTCCTTTTTGGACAATCTGCTTGGTCCGCCATCTCGAAACCCGCAGCTGCACATTGTCATTGCGCTCTCGCAATACTACAGCTACATCTCCCGCGAGCTTCTTGCCGGCGTCAGGTCGCACATTCTCGGGATGCGCGCCATCAAGACCGACGTTCCCCTTCAACGCATCTATCTCATGCCTACGCCAACATCGCCATCAGCGTCGTCCGACGGACGTTCGCATCACTTCTCGACGCCTACCAAAGATATCACTGTCTACGCAACAGTGCCCATCGGCGCGATGTCAGAGGAGGATGCCCGCAAGATGCACGCCACCCCAGCGTGGATTACGACGAGCCCCGTCGCTTCCAGCTCATCGACGCCGCGGTCACATCGGCATTCACACTCCCACTCTCATTCCCATGCGCGTCCGCACACCCACTCCCACAGGCACGCAAGTTCTCGGACGCTGAGCGACGAGAAGGCACCCACCCCAGCCTAATCCGTTCTTTTCCGGTCTCCTTCGGGATCCCTGGAGTTCCACGCTTCCTCGGCTTGAATGGCGTCAGTCCCTTACTGTTGTAAGGGGTGCCTGCTCTTCAGGAGAGTGGAAGAGTTTCTTGTTTCCATACCGATGATGGATGTTGTGCATCCTTCATTGCCCATACGGTGTATTCGAGTGTGTTCCAGTACGTATAGGTTATAATCTTATCGTTGCGTAGGTCTCGATATCCCGTCCCCCTGTCCGCATGTGACTGTCTATCGAGAGGTCTTGTTGATAGTGCATTTGCCCATTCCAACTTCATCTCTATGTCCCGCCGGCTCTACCATATATTGCGTCACCTATCCCCACCAACATATGCCCCTCCTCAGCGCCGGTCGCGGCGGGTCGACTGCGAAGACTTGTGCCTCGCCGTGCCCCTTGACCCCTTTGATTCCCTTCCTTGTCCCCGCATGCCCTGTCAATAGTCCTGTCGATGGACAGATGTCCTCACGCACTCCGGCGCAGCTCATGTATGTACAGCTTTTTACGCACTGCGTGCCATCACCCTGGATATGGCACCCGTGGGTTCGGCCTTTGTCTGCGACTTCCACCCCCAAGAGAGTCCTCAGCTGCGGGGACGAACTTCTGACATCCTTTCGACATCAGTCATTATGGCGGCAATGGGAAGTATCCTCACACTCGAGCTGAATGCGACTCACAACCCCGTGAGGGCTAGACTTCCGGCAAGAGCATGGACGACGCCCTAGGGTGATAATGCGGCAGGTCCATTCAATGAAGACGATGGTGACGTACAATCGCTGGTATGGCTCTTTGCTGTGCTACGGGCAAGGGAATTCCTGGACACTGGAAGCTCTCGGCAAGGGTCTTGGTGGGGAAGATCGCCGATGCTGTAACTATTCAGTAATCTATGTCAGGAGACTCTTCTTTATAGATCCGCCTGGGCGTAGGTGACGTCAAAGCGATATGAGACCGCTCATATAGTCGCCCGGTCTGACAGGGACAAGGTGTGTGGCCAGGAGGATGGTGTTGGACGATCCAGCCATATCGGGATATGCGGGGTTCTGCCCACTTCCCGTCGGGTCCTTTGCTTCGTGAAGCCCGCGGAGGCCCAGATGTGCGCGGTACCGGGCGCGCGGGGTAGATAGACGAGCAATGTGGTATGGCCGACGATGCGCATGTTTTCGGGCACTGAAGTGGGAGCGCGAGGTCTAGACATGGGACGCGCATGAGAGAATTTGTAGTAGGAGCGGCGGGCGCCTGAGGTCTGGTCAGGCCGAGACCAGCTCGTCGTCCTGCATCATCTTGCTACTTCTCGCCACATATACCCCTCCGTGTTCTGGCTTCCTCTCTCTCGACCCGCGTCCCCCTCCTCGCCTCTCGCCACCGCCCATGACGTCCAAGACGCACCCCCGCTCGCCGTCCCCTCCCCCGAGCGCGGCGCAGCCGTCGCTGCTGAAAAGGCTCAAGTCCAGCCACATTTCTGAAGATCCCCCGTCCGCCGCGCCCGACCCGACGCCCCACTTCGCGGCGGACCTGTTCGTCCCGTCAAACATTCATAGATTGCATACAGAATACGAGAACAGCGGGCCCTTCAAGCACGCCGTCGTGGAGAAGCTGTTCCAGGACGACCTGCTGAAGCAGGTCAAGGACGAGGCGCTCGCAGAGCTCAGCTTCTCGGAGAAGGAGACGGATATTTACAAGGTACGTACGTGCTCGCGTGCAATCCCCGTCGGCAGTTGTCTGCCGACGCGCGGCCTAGCCGTGTTCGATGACGTATGGTCCGCGTGCACAACCTCTGCGAGCTGTCGGAAAAAATCGGTAGATTGATCTGTTATTGATCAGGTCTACCAAACCGGCGACCTCGCGTCGCTCTCGTACCTCAGCGAGCAGCAGCTCGCCCTTCTCCCCAACCTCCTCACCCTTCGCGATGCGCTCTACTCCCCCATGTTCCGCAACTTCCTCCGCGCCGTCACCGGCTGCGGTCCTCTCTCAGGCACAAAGCAGGACATGTCCGTCGTGTCCTACCGAAAAGGATGCCATCTGCTCAACCACGACGATGTCATCGGCACCAGGCGTGTCTCGTACATCCTCTACATGCCCCTGCCCCACTACCAAGGATGGCAGGCGGATTGGGGCGGCGCGCTAGAGCTCTACCCTGTGAAGCCAGGTCCGGATGGCGTCCCCGAACCTGAGCCCGTCCCCGAGAAGAGCGTGCCCCCGGTCTGGAATCAATTCATATTCTTCGAGATTCAGCCAGGGCGCAGTTTCCATTCGGTAGAAGAAGTCGTTGTGGGGGAGTCCGAGGACGGGCGGCAACGACTGAGCATCAGTGGCTGGTTCCATGCCGCTCAGCCGGGCGAAGAGGGCTACGCGCCAGAACCCGAGCCAGAATTGAAAAGCTCTCGTGAGCAACTTGTGAGTCGCGGAAGCATGCAGACGCGTACGTATGTGCTCACGCGCTTCCGCAGACGTCTACCCAAACCGACTTCAAGCCGTACCCCGAAAACGTAGATCCGCCATTGCCAGACGAGCCTCTCTCAGAAGAGCATGTCTCCTTCCTCTCCGAGTTCCTCAACCCCGTCTACCTCCAAGCCCGCACCATGAAAGCCCTCGCCTCCCGCTTCGTCGAGGAATCGAGTCTCGAGCTGCACTCCTTCCTCTGCGCCCCCCTCGCAGACAAGCTCCGCACCGGCCTCGTTGAGAAAGATGACCAAGACGGGCTCGGCCCGAGCCGCGCGACGCGTATCCCCCCACACACCGCCGGCAGTGGGGGCGCGTGGCGGATCCGCGGCCCCCCGCACAAGTGGCGGTACGGTGCGCTGCGGCCGCTCGAGGGCACCGGCCCCAAGATGGCGGTCAGCCCGCGGTGGGCGCACGCGGACGTCGACGACGTGATCAGGGGCCTGCAGGACGAGCTGTATCCCAGCACGGCGTTCCGCGCGTGGCTCGCGTGCGTGTCGAAGCTGCTGCCCGTGCGGCACGCGGAGGAGGCGCGGCGGTTCCGCCCGGGCTTGGACTATACGTTGGCGACGAGCGAGCCGTCGGAGGCCAGGCTGGACGTCGTGCTGGGCTTGACGCCGCAAGTCGAGACGCAAGGCGCAGAGGGCGCGCAGAACGGGCACACGAACGGACATGTAAGCACGGAGGAGGTTGCGCCTGTTGGGTGGCAGACAGGGGAATGGGGCGGATGGGAGGTACGTTGTTCACCCTGAGTTGTTTCTCGTGAACCCGAACTCGAGTCCTGACTCGTCGTCCGTCTGCAGTGCTACATGGCTCCGCACGACGAGGAAGATGATCCCGCAGTTTACCGCTCTGGATCGTCGAAGAAAAAGAATGAGGCTAACGGTACCAACGGTCATTCAGCGTCTAAAGAAGAGGGAGCCATGCAAGGTGTGGAAGAGGATGAGGAAGACGACGACGACGACGGCACGTTGTTGACAGTCCAGCCTGGCTTCAACAGGCTACTGCTTGTCCTGCGTGATGAGGGCGTGATGCACTTCGTGAAGTACGTCTCTGCCGCCGCTGAGGGCTCACGATGGGACATTTGCGGGGAGTTCGAGATTGGGATGATTCAGGTGGAGTCTGGAGATGAGTCATGATGCAAGCAAGAGTCTCATCTTGTCTGCGGTTGTGCATACGCTATCTATGTATCCTACCGCTGTCCCTACCTTGTGTACTAAGATATTCGCCCTGCTATAATCTAACCACTGTATCACTCCGTAATGACATACCATGCCCACTCACAGGTTTGGCGGGGATGCAGGCGGAGAAGACGTCGTTGGATCAAACAGGCAAGTACGTGAAGCAACACCGCAGATGGGCCGCAGGGATGTGTACTAGAATACGATCTTCTTCCCTTGACTGGGTACGATAGAAGGGTCTTCACGTTTCGCCATCGCGAGGGCTGCACCGGGCTTTGATCGCGCGACTCTGCGCTCTTTGCCCCTAGGCTTACCCTCCTCTCCTCCCTCGGAGCGTCGCTTCTTCATCGGACGCTCGGCCTCCTTGCCCCCTACTTCCTTTTCGGTGTCGTCCTTGGTCTTTCGGGCTGGACGCTCCCGCTTCATTCCTTGTCCCACTTCCTTCGGCTTCTTCTCTCGAGGGGCACCTCCACCGCCCCGACGGACAGCTTCGGGCGAAGCGTATTCAACGACGAGCTTCCGCCCGTTGAGGTGATGATTCCTGGGATTTGTCAAGGCCGAAGTCGCGTGCTCAGTAGCCGTGAAGTCGACAAAAGCCCATCTGTGATAACGTGCGGATCCTCGTCGTCAGCGCAAAACAACTCAAGCGGGACACAAAGAAAATAAAAGCGAGATGTGAATAGAACGGTGAGCCTGGCAGAACGTACCCTTTGCACTTTCCGCTATCCTCGAAAGTACCAAGACGGATCTTACGAATCCACTTGTCTTCCGCCAGGGGGTCTGTGGCCCGGTGAGACACCAGGAGCTCACGGATGGAGTCCTCTGTCGTGTCGAACCCGAGGTTACCAAGAAAGAGCGTCGGCCCTGGTGGCTGTTTCTGGACGCTCAGTATCTTTTGCGCAGTTTTGGTGAGTCCGGTGGTTTTCGCTCCCCCTGGTGCCTCTGCACCATCCGTAGCCGCGGTCGCAGGACGACCGGCGAAGTCGTCACCTAGACCACTCCGTTAGAGATAGTCCAACCCAGCGCATGATGTGTACGTACCGTCTTTGATGAGCAAGCGTCTTCCCTCTAGAGGCTTTTCAGACATGGTGATTGCAACGGCCTTCGCGTCAGGCGTTGCAAAGTCCACATACGCAAAACTGAGTAGATGATGATATATTTTCTCTGAATATGACACGCAATGGGTAGGTATGTCAGAACTGACCCTCGGTTCTCCTTCCGCGGCTTGCCATCCGGTCCACCATGCGCCATCTTCGTAGGCATGTGTATTCGAGTGATCTCCCCGACTCCCTCGAAGAAGCTCCGCAATAACGCAGGCGTGGTTTTGAACGAGAGGTTGCCGACCCACACCGAGTTCTGGCGTTTAGACACTTTGGAGGGAGGGAGGTCGGCCGTGTTCTGCACCTTCTCTTTCCCCTTCTTGCTGCCGTCACCATTAGCTACGGTAGCAGACTTCTTTGCGGCGCGCTCTTCCTTTTTCTTCTGTCTGCGCCTTTCGGCACGAGAGAGAACGGGCTCCTCCTCTTCGGCGTCGGGTTCAGTATCATGAGAGCTATCCGAATCGTCGGATTCGCTCTGACTATCGGAGTCGTGATCATCTTCGTCTTCAGAGAGACGTTTCCTTTTTCGAGGTTGATCGGGTGCAGATATACGCTGCTCTGAGTCGGAAGAGCTGCCAGAGGTGGATGAAGACATGGTACCGGGATAGGCCAGGCGGCCGTGAGTGCACAGAAAACCCAGGCCCGTACAAACCGGACCGTCACTAAGCGCTGGTTCCTGAGCGTCGGCAGCTTCCGACTCTGCCCGCACCATCAACGCCTCTTCAGTCCAGCGTTTGGCTAACAGCCATGACTAGTCCAGGACCCGTTCACTCATCCAGGAGCTGCTTATTCCTCCCGCATATTATACAGGACTCGCTCTTTGACATGAGATTGATAATATGGTGGCCACTCCTGCCATGAATGGCCGGTACCTGAGCTCGAGGACTACCTTACGGCCGTCGATATCGAGAAGCGCGAGTTGGCCAAGCTCTCTGGCAAATTGCAGCCAAGCCTGATCAATCTTGGACTCCCCTCCCCGAGTCTCGGTCTGCTCGAGGAACCATCGACTCAACTAAATACTCCATGCTTCTGCCGACTAGCGCGATTGTGCCATGCATCCCCTTGTTGCGGTCTCTTCTTGGCCGACGCGGTCCCGATGATGCACGGACGGCCGATGTCCGTTCTTCCGAGACCATATGACAACATCTTCAGCCTATCCGGTGAGTTGCCGCATGCTCTGAACGTTAGCAACACCATTCTGCCCCCGGTTCGTCGCACCGCTAGAACCAATGTATCATTATCTGATAAGATTTGGGGCGGCAAGATATGATCATCTTATCAGATAGAGATCCCGTCTGATCTTTCCAGCCAGGCGATCGCGGGTTAACAGTCCCGCCGGCATCGGGCTTGGCTGCCTCAACAGACCAGACTTGCGACGTCCTGCAATACCTCAGCATTAGAATTCAGGGTGACCGGAAATGTTTGACAGCATGTCCAAGGCACGTACAAATACATGCGGCCAGCCGAGCGGGGAAACGGTGGTCACTAATCCCCCCTGCCTCCGACATGTCTGGTCACGCCGCGTCTTTGTCCACTAGCCCCTACCTGATTGCCTCCATCATCTCGTCGGCTACCGGTACAGTGACTGCCACGTCGGCGTCGACAAGGAGCGCTGCGACGACAAAGGGAACCCAGAGCGTGAAACATAAACCGGTACGTACGCTCATCTACGACTCGTTCCCGTGTTACCTGACACAACCTACTCAGGCTCACCCAGAGTACGTATGGTATGGTATCCTCGCACTTCTTGCACTTGCGACCGCCTGCAATGCCGGATACTTAGCGTGGGCCGCCTTACGTCGGTATCGAACTCGTCGTGCGTCAGACACCTCGACCGTTGTTTCCTCCCAGTCTCCGAGAAAGCCATCATACCGTCGTGTCCCGCATGCAATTATTTCTGCGTCACGTATCCTTGGTCTCAGACTGAGGATCCCGTGCGTCGACATGACAATCATGGAGATTGTGTTCACCATCCTGTACATGGGCGGATGCCTCGCGTTCACTTTTGCGCCGAGTAAGCGTCTTCATCGTTCACTCCAGTTGCCACCCTGGTTCATTTGGTTTGGGAATCTTAGCGGACAACATGAAGCCTGCCGTCAACCTGATGCCAAAGTATTGGGGTAATGACGCGGGGAAGATCGCTGCGATCCAACTTCCGTTCGTTGTCGTGTTGGGCCTGAAGAACAACCCTATTACTTGTGAGTACGGCCTCCATCGCGGTCAATACAAACGCTCACCATCTCGTAGGGCTGACCGGTGTGGGACACGAGAAGGTATTCAGTGTGTTCTCACTGGTAGACATACTTCTGAATGTTCCCACAGCTCAACATAATGCATCGAGTGGTGTCGCGTTGCATCCTCTTCTTCACTTGGTTGCATTTGATTGGAATGTAAGCTGCCATATATCATCTATCCTTGACGCCGAGCCGACATAGCGAGCACAGGTATTACCGATCGTAAGCTCATTAGCATGTCCTGAGGCGCCCTGACCAACCGTACGGCAGTGTTGCTCTGATGCTGAACGAGACATGGAAAGTCCTGGGCCTCGTCGGGGCGGTCGCTCAGACCCTCACCACAATATTCGGCATCAAGGCGATCCGCCGAAGATTTTATGAGTTCTTCTTCATTACTCACGTTATCCTTATTCTGTACGCCTTCTTCATCGTTGTCGATTTTGCCAGCTATCCCTCATGCGACAATGCGGTAGCGTCTTCATTGTCTGCACTCACCTGCACGTCCGCGCGAAGGACTATGCTGTATACGTGTGGCCGTGTTACGTGCTCTGGGGCTTCGACCGCGCCGTCCGCCTCGGACGCTACCTCCTCTTCAACGTCGTCCTTCGCCCACAGAAGTTCACCGCGTCGGTCGAGGTCATCGGCACCGACGCGCTGCGCGTCACGCTGAAGCGCAGGATCCCGGGCGGGTGGACAGCCGGACAGCATGTTTTCGTCGCGTTCCCCACGCTCGGCCTACAGTCGCACCCTTTCACGATCAGCAATGTGTACGAGAAGGACGCGGACGGGAAGGAGGCAGAGATCACGCTTATCGTGCGCACCATGAACGGACAGACGAAGAAGCTCATGGACCGCGCGCTGCCGACGGGCAGCTGCGAGCTTCCGGCGATGATCGACGGGCCGTATGGACGTCCGGAAGACATCCGGCCGTTCTCGACTTGCGTGTTCATTGCGGGTACGTGACGTGTGGCTCCAGCAAGGCGACTGCAGCTTGCTGACGGACGTTTGCTCGGCAGGAGGGACCGGTGTCACTTACACGCTATCGCGGATGCATCAGTTGTTCAAGTACGTTTCAGGCCCCTTCGCGGTCCATCCCATCGGCACATGATGATATAAAACCACTTGTAGGGACATCGGCGCAGGCGATGCATGTGCGCAGCGGGTCACCTTCGTTTGGACTATCCGCACTGAGGGTAGGTGACCGCAGCCAGAACCACGCCGGACCATTCTAACCTCCCTCCGTCAGATGAGTACCAATGGCTCGCGGCGGACCTCGAGAGAGTGGTCGCTGCAGCACCGCCCAACCTCTTCCTTACGGTTGACGTGCACGTCAGCGGCAGCAAGACCGCGCCGCCGAACCTCTCCCTACTCGAGCTCGAAAAGGGCGACGGCGATGTGGGTATCGACGTCGAAAAGCGCCATTGGCACGACTCCTCCTATGGGAATACGGCGAGCTGCCCTACCTCCCCTCCGAAGTCCGAAGCGGACAAGTACGACTCGACAGCCACGACGCCCACAGTCTCCTCGCGGTCCGCGTCGAAGGAGGCACTCGCGTCGAGGGCTATCAATCGCAGGAGCGGCCGGCCGGACGTGTACACGCTCCTGGAGGAAGAAATCACCACCGCACAGGGTGCCGTCGCAGTCGATGGTGCGTGCTCATCCCAATTCCATTCATGGTCGTCTGCGAGTCGGAGCGCTCCGTGTCCTCCCTCTCCTCCCTCCCACCGGGAAGCGAGGCGAGCATGTGGCTCGGACGGCTCATGTGTCCCGTGTGGGTTCGGGAAGGCACTGAAACTGACAGCGTTTACATTTAGTGTCTGGGCCGGACGGGCTGGTTGGCGCCGTCCGCTCTGCTCTCTGTGCGCCGTTTGCGGGCCCTGTGGCCGCGCTGAAGGGGACGCCGACGGTGATGTTGTGCGTTGAGCAGTTCCGGATGTGATGATAGTCTTCCTTGCCTATCTTTTTGCAAGCAGCGTTGGGTGGTGTACCAGCAGGGGGAAAAACTCGGCAATTTGACAGTTCGAGGAGAATAACGTTTTTAATGCTTGCGACGTTCTAGACGAGCTCTGGGCCCCTTTTTGTGGGGGTATGGGGCAGCTATTGGCTGTAGAATTTGTAGATCCCATTGAATAGACGCCAAATGCGCTCCGAATTATAATAGGGGACAAAGACCGTGACAGGACAAGGCAAAGTTTCCAGGGTAAGAAAGGTTCCATAGCAAACATCGACAGCAAACTGCGGGTCTAGATCTATGGACGTGAATAACTTATTGTCCAAGTGTAGGTGTGAAGGGCAATGCTCCAAATATTATGATCTAAGATACAATGGGAGAAGACGACAGCGAGCGTGTGTGGAGAAGAACGATGATACAAGTCGTCATAAACGTCATGAAGGGGAAACCCGACTGGAGCGAAAGCAAAACAAGTGGAGACAGCACCGTCAGCTCATGCCGACTGTGTCTGGGGCTTCGCCTGCGTGAGGTGGAGCTGGATCTCCTGCTCCTCCTTCTGCTGCTCTTCGAGGATGGCCGCCCACGAGTGGTCGACGCTGCGGTTGTCGTGCGCTTGCTGACGCTGGGTCTGCGTGAGGACACCAGCGGCGATCAGGACGCCGATGGTGAGGCCCTGGGCCCACATACGGGCCTGCACGATTTTTTGAGGGGTGCTTTGGTAGCTAGACGAGACGAATCGTGAGCGGCTGCCCGTGACAAGTCCAAGACGAAGGGCCATAATGGGACGTACCGATTGCGCATCACGATCGTGCCAGCAATGGCCATGCTCGCAGCCCAGCTCCCAAGAATAATCTTGTACTGGTTGCGCATCGCCCAGTCCTTCATCTTCTGGCCGTTGGTGAGGCTCTCCCAGCGGCTCTCCTCCTTGCGCTCGTTGTCGTCGAGCATGGCCTTGGCGGCGCCCGTCCAGGTGGACTCGTCGTACTCGACGCCGCGGCGCTCGGTCTGGATGGCGTAGCAGGGGGCGACGATGAGGACGATGCCGAGGGCCTTGAGCTGCGGGGGGAGCGCGCGGAAGGCGGGCCAGCGGCGGTTGAGGTACCAGGTGGCGGGGAGGGTGACGGCGAGGCTGCCGAGGGTGCCCTCGATGGCGCCGCGGACGGTGGCGGCGTGGTGGCCGGCGAGCTCTTCCTCAGTTGCGAACTGAGGTGGGCGGGCAATGGATGTCAGCTCTCCGGGAAGGCGCTAGGCGGCTGGGTCTGGGCGTACCTTCATGATGTGAGTGTTCTGGCAAGGGTATTAAGAAAAGTCTGCTTGAGGCTAGCTCTAGTCGTCTAGTAGAGGAGGCTGCGGTGTGTAAAGGACTGGAGAGACCGTGATAGGACAGTGAGGAGAAACTGGCCAGACGGCGTGGTGTGGTTTTATACAAGTGTGTATTGAATGCCGGGACGCTCGAGCCGCGCCGGGTGGGTGAGCGCGGGGTAAATCGGAAAGCGTGTCTTCCCTACGAATTGCGGAAAACAGGGCGGATTCGCAACTGTCAATGTCAAATCTTGCTCAGCAGGCGATCAGTGTCGTGACCTGGTGCAGTGGGATGTCTTTGGGCCGTGCAGCCTGGACTGGACGAGGTGCTTTCCGGGTGGTTTGCCTTTCCGTGGCCTCACTATTAGGGCTCTTGCACCACCGGCGCCTTGGACGCCCCGGCGTCTGTCGGGTAAGCTGTCGCTGTCCATGTCGGGTAAGTCACCCGCGAGCGCCCGAGTGTGCATGCACCGCCTCCGACGTCCCCGGCCCATCTCGCGTCCATCCCAGGCATGGCCTCCAGAATGCTGTCCAGTCTTGTGCCCACCCCTACCCTCGACCTCTCTGCTGCCGCTCGGGCAAAGTCGTCCAGACAGAACACAAGGACTGCCAGTGTCTCCAATCCCGATATTGTACCTGTTGCTCCCCTCACTCGCACTGCTGTCTCTCTCGAGTATGCCTCCCTTCGGCATACCGGGCACTGTCCATTAGGCATGTATGTAACCCCGTCGCCCGACAACCTCATGGTATGGGATGCGGTGTTCTTCGTGCACCAAGGTACGTGCAAATCGAGTGGCAACATGTACGTCCGGTGCGACTCACACGGCGCTCCGTCTAGGCTACTACACCGATTCCATATTGAAGTTTCGGTTGACGTTCCCTCCGAACTATCCAGAGCGTCCTCCGGTCGTGCAATTCCTGACGGACGTATTCCACCCTCTCATCTCGCAACAAGACGGCACATTCAACCTTGCTCCCCGTTTCCGCACATGGAGACCGAAGGAGCACCATGTCTTCGACGTCCTACACTGGGTGAAGGCTGCTTTCAAGAAGCACGCGCTGGACGAGATCAAGGAGGCGGATTGCTTCAACAAAGAGGCATACAGGTACGCTCCTCCCCCAACCGCACGCGACCGCTTGTTCCGACGGCGGCGTGTCTCTTCCCAGACTCTACCACGACACCACCTCTTCGTTTGCCGCGCTCGCCACGCAATCGTCCATGCTCTCCCAATCTGCATCTGCGCTGTTCGACAAGGACCACCCCTCGATGGCCGGAAAAGGGTCGCATAGCATGCAGTTCAAGGAGCTCAAGCCGGAGCAGCTCGACGCGCTCCGCGTCCGACTTGGAATTCAGGATTGGGACGACGCGCCTTCGACGTGATCTAGTCCCCCGTCATTCCCTCCCCCTGCTTCGATTCGGTCACAGATGTATCAGTAGACCAAATACCCAGGAATTACCCAACCCGTCGATTGAAGATGTCGGCCTCACACCGGGTCCTTGCTCTGAAGCTAATGCATGCGGTGCTGTCCCACGAAGTGGTTATGCTTGGTGATGGGCTAGTTCTGAAGCTTTCGCGACTAACAAGCGCCGAGCTCTCATCCTTCTTCTTTGGACCACCCGCAAGATTGCCGCAACCGGAGCACGCACAGCGCCCTGTTCACACGGCTGATGACCATCTCCTTATGTCCTCTTCGCCTATCCTGTCATGGTATGCACCTCGGTCACCCTCAGCTCCGAGATAAGAGAGTTACGGAGGTTATTGCGAATGCATCATGCTAATCACACCCTCTGTATTGCATCTGCTTCATAGCGCCGCTCAGCTGGCTTCAACGACGTTGTGGCCCGGATTGTGAAGGTGAAGTCTATACGTCGGAGCGTATC